TTTTTGGCTGGACGTATTCCTGGGGACACGGCCGGTCCTAACCAATCGGCAGCCCCAGGCAACTGCCCGGCTTGACTGTTGGGTTCCCAGATGGTTTAAAAAAAAAAGCCGGGGGAAAATTTGTCAAGCAAAAAAGAAAAAAAAAAAGCCGGGGGGAAATTTGTCGAGCAAAAAAGAAAACCAAAAAGGGTCGGGAGTAACGAGGGAAACCTGGGGGGAGGATTCGGGAGGTTGGGCCGAAATGCGGTCGCGGCCCACCTCTAAGACCGCAATGCATGGCAGGAAGAACTGTCACATTGTGGCTGATGGATAAGTCACATGTGTGTGTGATCCTCGAGTGGTGGTGCACATTGGCACATGCCTCAGTGCGCCGCACAAAATTTGTTCTGCACAAGGGCCGAACAAATTAGAGAGAACCTTGTGCGCGATATGTTCTGGAGGGTTCAATTCTGGGCTGATGCCCGTTCCCACTGACTTAGAATCATAGAGCTGGAAGAGACCTAAGGATGTCATCAAGTCTAGCCCCCTGCCCAAGACAGGACCAATCCCAACTCAGCCAGGGCTTGGTCAAGCCGAGACTTAAACACCTCTAGGGATGGAGACTTCACCCCCTCCCTAGGGATCCCACTCCAGTGCTTCCCCACCCTCCTAGGGAAATACCATAAAATCTCGAGTATAATGCGCACTTTTCCCCCCAGTTTTTTAGGCTCAAAGCCGGGGTGCGCATTATACATAGGAGCTATTTTTTAAAGTTTTAAACTCCCCCTCCCCTCCGCACAGAAACTTTTCCGCTGCAGCATGGCGCAGGGGGAAAGGGGAGTTTAAAAGAGTGCTGCGCCTGAGGGTTTCCATGGCAGGCGCGAGCTCAGCACGGCACGTGGCAGCTATCTGGGGGGGGCGAGGGGTGGTTTCCAACTCTACCGCCGGCTCCCCGGGCTGCACGCACGTTTCCCTGTAGCTTCCGATATGGTTTAAGGATAATCAAATGTGTTCCGGTTTAGTAGAGACCAAGAAATTGTGGACTTTAGAAACAGGCTACCTCCCTTTCTGTACAATGGGGTGCGCATTGTACGTAGGAGTTCCGTTTTTTTCTTTATGCTAAGATTCGAAAGTCAGGGTGCGCATTATCCATCGGTGCGCATTATGCTCCCCATTTTACGGGTAGTTTTTCCTGCTATCCAACCGAGATCTCCCCCACTGTAACCTGAGACCGTTGTTCCTCGTTCCGTCATCCCTCTCACCAACATGAGCGGAGCATCCAGGCTATGCGTTTTTGAAATTTATTCAAGCGTGGCAAAGGAAAGCGGACGGAGGCCTGTGCTTTCGGAAACCCGCCGTCCTCCTGCCCCCCCCGTAAATTACGCCAAGTCATCAGCAGTGCGAGTGACTCGTCGTTTCCCCTTGCACACTGTGGTGAAAACGCTATCTTGACCCATAAGCGCGTCTTCCGCAGCCGGGAAAGCAAACAGACCTTATCTCTAACCTTGAGGTTTCTCTCTTTTAAGCGACTAAAGAATAGAAAGGACAAGTTGCACAGAAAAAAAAAAAAACCAGGTCAGAAGAAAAACGGTCCAGATCTCCTTACCTCCTCCCTCCAACGCTCAAGGGTCTCCCAGAAGCACCTGGGGCTGTATGAATACACAGCTAGCTCTGAGCTATACAGGGGTGCTCTGTTCACGGCTGCCCCCCGGTATCAGACCCTAACAGACATGCCTAATGGAACAGAAGGTCAGTTAGACCTAGGCAACTGACATTTTTCACTTTGAAAATGTCCGAATGGAACTTTCAAGGATTTGGAAACTTGGTGCAACATTCTTTCGAGTTGAGACACTTTTCAAACCCATCCTGTTCCCAGGGACAGTTTCTGCCGTGGCCCCAGCCCCCTTCGCCGGCGAGAGACTGCTCCCTGTCGGCCGCCCGGCTTGCTGCCCCCTGGCTCCACTCCGCCCGTTCCCTGCACCCTGCTCCCCGGTCCCCCTGCTCTCCCAGTTCCCTACGCCCCTCTGGCTCTGTTCCATCCCTGCACCCGGCAGCCCGTCTTCCCTGCACCCCTCTGGATCTGTGCCCCCCACACTGTTCCCCGCACCCCTCTGGCTCTGCGCACCCCAGTCTCCCTCCTTCCCCCGGTCCCCGTGCCCCTCTGGTTCTGCACTGTCCCTCCACCCTGCTGCCCCTGTGGGTTGGCAGTGAGGGGTGCTTGTCCATAGGGAGGGGTTGGACAGGGCAGGGAAAAGGCTGTTGTGACCCAGCAGCGAGTGAAAGGGGAGAGGGAGTTTACTTGATGCGCCAGAAAAGAGGAGACTGAGGGGGGGATAGGATAGAGGTCTATAAAATCACGAGTGGTGTGGAGAGGGCGGATAAAGAAAAGTTCTTTATTCGTTCCCATAATAGAAGAACTAGAGGACACCAAATGAAATGAATGGGTAGCAGGTTTAAAACTAAAAAAAGAAAGTTCTTCTTCACACAGCACACCGTTAACCTGTGGAACTCCTCGCCAGAGGAGGCTGTGAAGGCTAGGACTAGAACAGAGTTTAAAGAGA